ATGAAGACTTGATTGGGTGTCTAAGACAGGTATTTTGCCAGCCAGGGCTAAAGGCACTTCTGCCCTGACATTGCTTTGTTTTTTGAAATGAGTGATTGGGCCCTTTTTGTTGCCACAACCCACATCATGGTCTTCTTTTCAAACAAATGGGCGAACAAAAAATACACTTAAAGATTAGTCCCCATTTAGGAAATATCTTAGTTTCCAAACTCCTTCTTAGCCACATCAGTCTGCAGCCAAATGACCCAGGTCTGGCCCCTGGTTATGGCTCTCCTGGGAGAGAGCTTCCTGGACTCTGCTCCCTTCCCTTCCTCACCTGCCTTTTGCTGAACTCAGCTGCACACTAGTCAGGGACTAGTTCTTGGGGCTAGAAAAAATATTGTTGCAGGCAATTAGTAAAAATTCTGCTCTCCTGAGTGTTAGGCTTTGCATTATGACTCTGTTTGATTAAATTGCATTATGACTCTGTTTGATTAAATTCACACTAGTCAGGGACTAGTTCTTGGGGCTAGAAAAAATATTGTTACAGGCAATTAGTAAAAATTCTGCTCTCCTGAGTGTTAGGCTTTGCATTATGACTCTGTTTGATTAAATTCACAGCATCAGGGTTCCACTATGACATACGAGCACTTCTGTGTGAGAAAGTAATACTTGGTAGGTGCCACTCAAGTCCTGCCAAGGGGCCTCATCTAGGTCCCTGGACGGTATTCATTCCGAGACCAGTGTTTCCCAGTGCTATGATGCAACTCGAGGAAGGGGGCAGCAGGAAACTTTTGAACTTTAGTCGTACTCTGTCTTTGGTTAGCTGTATAACTCTAGATAGGTCACTTAATCTCTGAATGCTGATTTCCTCCTTTTTAACTTTCCTATCTCACAGGAAAGTTTGGAGGGTCTAATGAGCCCGTGCAAGTCAAAATCTTCTAGAATGTATAAAGCCCATTGAAATTTAAGAGATTATTATCATTGTGGTGTGAACAATTTATCAAATCTTTTCCAAAGTGACAGCTCTGCAGGAGAGCGGCTTTGCTATGGGGGAGGTGGGGAGATGATGATGGAGGAGGTAGAGAGATGATGATGGAAATCTAAAGGGGGATGGGGAGGATAGGAGGGTGGGAGGGAGGAGGATGAGATGAAGCAAACTGTTACAGGGAATGAGAAGTGACTAGAATTCATGATCTCCTAATGTTCAGACCACACTAGGAGTCTATACTAACTTAATACCTATACAACCTTTCAGATAATTTCCTTCCCCTCTGTTTCCCTGCTTCAGAAATAAGGAAATCAAAATGATCTGGCTTCATGTACTTTTCTTGCTCCAACCACTTGGATATTATTTTTCTGGAACATGCCAGGCTCATCCTTACCTGAGGAATTTTGCTGTCCCTCTGCTTGAAGGAGCACCTTCCCTTAATATCTGCATGTCTCAATTTCTACACCCTTCTGGTCTTTTCAAGAAGGTACTTAATTACTTCCTGACATTTCATATCATATCTTCTTTGATTTGGGCTTGTTCTTAGCAGTTGTCACAGACTAGCATTCAACACACTTAACCAACTTATGTCATCAGTCACAGCTCTCATTCCAAGAGAGTAGAATTTTTGCCTGGATTTTAGACTAGAATAGTGCTTGGCCAGTAGTAGACATGTAAAAAATATTTATTGTATGAGTGACTGAATAAATAATGGAAAATACAACTGTATGGGCTCCTTCAGAGTTAACTTTTGATTTCTGGAAGTGGCCACAAGTGATATGATTTATCCCAACACCAAATATTTGCAAGATTATAAATTACTGTGCCTTTTGATGTAAACTTCCTCCCACAAGTAAGTTAGTTATTGAAATCTGATCTATAGTTATTTACTGTAATGCATAGAAAACTAAGTACCTTAAGTACTCCCAACTTCTTAGGAAGAAGGACCTAACCTCTGAGGTTGATTGACCTACAATCAATGCCCCATTAGCCCAAGGTAGAGTGAGGTCTTCCTGGGTCATTTCCTGAGGAAGCATTACCTTGGCTTGCGGTATGGGGAGCTTGGACTGGAAGCAGCTCGTGCTTTACTTGGAATAAGTAGAGAGAAGAATTTTGTTAAGATTTATGCAGGGATGTGGTTTCTTTAAGAAGAGTTCCCATCATTTCATAAGCAGACAGTAAATTTGTACTGGTATTTTAAGTTTTTTTTTTTTTTCACTTTTACTCCCCATTTCCAACACCTTATGGAAATCAGGAACATATAACTATTTGGTAGATTCATGTCTCAGAGACAGGAACCCTGTGGTACCGCTTCTGCTGTTTATAAAATAACTTAAAACCTTCTCTACCAAGACCTCATCTTTATGCAACTCATTAATACCTGGAAGCTTAAATGACCCTACCTAATGATACGTGGGGGACAAATTGCCTGAAAGTTCTCTAAATGCAGAGCTGAAAATGCTCTTTGCATATTATTATGTGGAAAATATCACTAAAAATAAGATGATCTTTATGTTATTCTTCTTTTGTGTTTGTTTACAAGGAATGGCTCAAGATTCAAGGGAGACTGTGGTTGTAAAGAAAAAAGAATAAAAGGAAATTGGAGCATAAAAAGAGTGCTCTTATAAATGTAGGGATTTAACATATTAGGGATTGAGACTTAGGGTAAGAGCCCATCTATCTGGAAAGGAATGTTTAAGGGGTGGAGATAATGCTGTTAGATAGAATAGACTATTAGGAAGGCCTTCAGTCATGTCTGATGGCTGCAGAAAGGATGTTTTGAAGACCTTCAGAAATATTTTTCCATTAAAAGTAAACCTTTTAACTAGATACTGGGAACTCAGACCACGAGTTTTCAGAGCATCTGGAGCCCCAGGAAGCCTAGAACATCATGGCATGATCTTTGAACTTGACCTTTGAACTGGCATCCAAAACTGAGTTGAACCTTGCAAAAAAGTCGAAAATTTAAAAAGGGTTTTAATTTTTAAGTGCTTAAGTACCAACCTCAAGAAACACAATCAGGTCCTTTCTCCCTTCTAGATTGTCCTTTTCTTTAATTATCTAATTATCTCACTCTTTGCTTCTCTTCTCCTGTCTTCCTTCTTCCTACCCAAATGCTTTTCCTTTTTTTTTTTTTTTCTTTCTCCTTTTACTTTTCTACATCTTGCCTCAATCAGGGAAATGCTCATTTTATTTTTAAATTTACACAATAAGCCCTATATCTAGATATTATAATCATCTCTAGTTTACAGAGGAAGAAAACTCAGAGAAGTGGAGGCCTCGCCTTATCATGTAGTCAGAATAAAAGCTCAACCCTGATTCTGGAGATGCTGTGTAAAAGGTTGTATCTTCTACCTGGTAGGTTCAGTTTCTTAGGCCATGTCTAACTGTAGTGGTTGACTAGATCTAAGCAGCTTCTCAGTTTGTTCCAGGTAGGAGTGGAACAGACTAACAAGGGAAGGATGAGCTAGGCTACAGATTCATGATAGAGCCACCAGTGTGACTCACATATATAACTCCTCTGCAGAATGGAAAAAGAAAAAGTAAAATGAATTTTTAGTATTATTCAAAATAGGATTTCTTTAATATGCAATCATTATAAAAATATTAATGAGACATTGTGCACCCTTCCTTTGTTTGCATTAAGTATTTGAAATCTAGTTTCTATTTTACACACTCACGGTAAATCTGAGTTGAGAGGTACATTTCAAGGGCTCACTAGCCTCCTGGGGTTAGTGACAATTGCATTAAGCATCACATTTCTAGACTATATCCAAGAATGATAAGGATGATTATTCTGTTTTTCACTTGATATGCACAATAGATCAAGATAGTGTCAGGCCACATAGGCAGAGATGATTGCTTTCTCTTCTAGCTAATAAGGACTTTCTTGTTAATGCATTGGGGACCAACTCTTGAAATATTAATCTAGGGCAAGAGGAGGAAGGATTGCCTTTGCCATGGAAAGAGTACATTCTGAGAGGACACTCAGCTTTGTGGGCTGGTCATTGCACAGTGCTTGGTAAGGATTTATGGTTGGTATTTATGATGCAATTCACTTAGATGGGATGCCTTATGCAAACAGGTATATGAGAAGTTTCAGGAACAGTATGGTGTAGTGGAATGAATTCTACATCAAGGATCAGGAGAACTGGGCATGAATCCAGGCAGTTGTTTGGGAGGAGATAAATTAATATTTTCCATGCCAGTTATAGCACTAGGCACTTTAATGCTCATTTTTATTTTAAGTTTTCACAATAAGCCCTATATCTAGATATTATAACCACCCCTTGTTTACAGAGAAAGAAAGAGCTCAGACGAATTGCTTATCATGTAGTCAGAATAAACTTCAAGTCTTGATTCCAGAAATGCTGTATTCTGGCATTATGTTGCCATGTAAGAGGTTGTATTTTCTATCAACTAGGTTCAATTCATGAAGCAGAACCAGTTACGTGTGTGATAAATATTTGTTGGGGTTGGTCAACCAGTTTTTGTAAGGATGTGGTCTTTCCATCTGATGCTGGAGATTGAAGTCCACAGGGTGGGCAGTTGTGGCTGGCAGCCCACCAGCATGGCAGGGGACAGCAAGTACGAGCTGAATTCCCAGGAGGACAAACTGAGCCCTATTTCTGTTCTTGCTGCTTTTGACCTTGGTGGAGAAAGTATCTTGCAGAACTGGGCCCCTTCTCCATGAAGCTCTACACATCCACCTGGCCCAGGAGTCAGAGCATTTGAAGGAGGATCCAGGAGAAGCTGGAACATTTGCAGGCCCAGCTGCTGCTGCTCACAGCAGTGAGAGGAATCAGCAGATCAGCAACAGCTTCCCTTCTGCTCTCCTGTTTTCCCAGGAATTTTCTCTGTGGCACACCCTAATGGGAAACAAGAAATCCTGGGAAATGTAGTTCAGCCTATCCAAAGTGACACATAGCAAAGTCATCACATGAGTACTCAAAGAATACTTTTTGAATGAATACATAATACTGTGGTCTGTCTCTTGTAAATTCTCTGAAAGTCCAAATACTTGCTTCTGACAAGCCAAGCAGTTTGAACAAGTTGCCTAGCTCTTTGAGTGTTGGTTTCCCCATCTCTAACAATCCGTATTTATAGGACACTTATATAAAAACCAATTGAGATAATCTGAACAAAAGCACTGCAAAATATAAAACAAATGTAACATAATATTAAATCAGTCATTGTCATTAATACTTGAACTTCCTAATCTACCACATGGAGTTAATTGTTCTGATTTTAGCTGACAGGTGTACCAAGAAGATTTACATTAGATGCATTCAGTCAGCTAGCTCCTGGCACATTCTTCACAAGTGAGACTAAATGACACTTAGCTGGATTTGCACATTTTGGTTTAGTTCTGGGCTACATGGCTTAGAGGGACAAATGTATAATTGGAACCACTGGGGACCTGGGTGCTGGAGGGCAGTGGCCATTCCGTGAATGGGAGTGATGGGCAGTGGATGAAGTTTCTGTCTTGTATAGCTGGGCTTTCATTTCATACCAGCCAAATTTACTCAGCAGAATGAAGAAGTCCCTGCGGAAGTTTTTGGTGAAGATGGCATAGAGGAAGGGGTTGGCGCACGAGTTGATGGGGTAGAACAGGACCAGGAGGATCTTAGATTTGGACACAGTGATGAGCGGTACCTTGAGGGAAGCAGAGATGGCAAAGAAGGAGATGGGGGCCATGCAGAGGAAGTCCGTGAAGATGAGCATGGCCATTCGCTTGGCAATCTTGGTGTCACTAGAGGAAGACACGATGTTGGGGTTCCTCACTGTGAGATAGATGTGGGTGTAGCAGCCACAGATGACCAGAAAGGCTAGGACATTGAGTACAAGGAGGGACATGACATACAGCTGTGACAAGGGGCTGTCAATGTCCATGGGCAGGCAGATGCTAACCTTCATGTAGCTACTGATGCCGACAATGGGAAAGAGCGCAACTGTAAAAGCAAAGATCCAGCCTATGAGCATGACACTGGCAGCATGGCGGAGCTGCACCCTGCAGTCTACCTGCATGGCATGAGTAATGGTGTGCCACCTTTCCAGCGTGATGGCTGTGAGAGTGTAGACTGAGAGCTCACTGGCAAAGACAGTGAAAAAGCCGGCTGCATCACAGCCAGCTCCAGTTTGCCAATCTATGGCATAGTTGTGGTATTGGCTTTTGGTGTGGATATCAACTGATGCTATGAGCAGCAGGTAGATTCCAATGCAGAGATCAGCAAAGGCTAGGTTGCACATAAGGAAGCGGGGAACTGTGAGTTTATATTGACTGGTAATCAGAATCACCAGTACTGTGATGTTCCCGGTGATGGCGAGGATGCTTATAAACCATATCAAGATTCTGAGAATATCATACCCCATGATATCTTCACACGGGTTGAATGCATCTGGCTTAGGAGAGCAAGTCACATCAACTACTTCATTGCATAAGTCATAGTCAAATTCACTGTACATTGTGTCAAATCCTTTGGTGTAACTGGACTCATCATCTTCTGCCAAAGACACTCTCTGACCCCTAGCTTTAGTCATATCATCAATTTCTTGCCTTAAAATAGATTTGTTGCAAATTGGATGAAGCTCAGAGCTGGAAAAATACAAAAAGAAAAAGAATTAACATTCTTGGATTCAGAATGGCAAATATATCACTGTCTCTGCACAGGGTAGAAACGAGGGGGTTTCTTCCTGAGACATTTTTTTCCCCTGCTCCTAACATGTTGCCCTTGAGGCTAAGCTCAAGGGTTAATGCTGCTTACTGTAAATGAATAAAACAACTTGTGTGTATAGGCCTAGAGTTGGATGACCCACTGGGGAAGCCATCTGGCCGCAACCTGAATGTGGGGAGGAAGGCGCCTGGGACTAGCTAACACTTGCTGTTAAGTGCAAATAATTTACAGACCTGGTATTAACTCCCCCACCTTTTCCTTCCCCTACCCCTCTCAGTTATCTCTTAATATGATGGAGCAGAATCCACTCTGATTCCTTTCTCTACTCTAATCTTGAAGATCTGGACTGTTTTCTGACTCAAACAAGAACTTACTTATTCCTTTATCTACATAAGTTAGAGGATCAGCTTTGCAGTTAGTTTCTGGCTAGCCCTCTCTCCTGCCTCTTGGGTCCTCAGGCTACTAGGAGGGCGGCTAATTTGCCTGCAATGTAATGGAGGGTCCTACTCTTTATTATCTCACACCCCAGGGGCCACAAGAGGCCCCCAAGCATGTATTTGTCTACAAGATAAGCCTGACTCGCTCATATTAAATAGTTCCCTAGTGAGTGCCCTAAAGAACAAATGCAGGTTGCAATGGGGCCTAATTTATTCTAAGATTATAATAACTTATTCCCTGGGGAGCCTGGCTGTTCTTGAGCTCACTTTTCTGTCATGGTTTTTCCCTTAAACTCAAATGTACAAGAGACCCTGTCAACAGACTAGAGGCACTTTCAGAAGAGATTTGGATGAAAGCCAGATGATAAATATTCTACCCAGACAGTGCAGTAGAGAAAGTAATCATGGTTCTGTTTTGAAGCAAAGACTTAGGGAATGGGGATATTTTACACTGGGCTTTTTGAGATGAACAAAATAATTGCATCCCATTTTTTTCTTTCTCTCCCTGAGGGACAAGCTCACCACCATGTTAAGTAACCGCATCACTCCCAAAGCTTAGCATTGTCTTTGATCCCCTCAAAGACTCCCATGAAGAGAGAGTGGCTGAGAGAGTGGAGGAGATAAAGACCCCACTTGGGGCACCCAAGCATTCAGAGTAGATGGATTGAACTCTTCCCCTCAACTCTCATGAGAAGAAGCTCATAGGAGCAACCTCCTCCTCCCTTTTCTCACACTCCAGAGTGCACTGAATTGTCAGGAAGTCATTTTCCCTAACCCTAAGGGACACTTTTTGCTGGAGAATATGTCATCTTTTGTTTTAGAGATGGAGAGATCTGCTCCCAGCTGTCATGGTTGCGCTGAAGAGGCTGAACCATTCACATACAAGTCATTAAAAATGTGCATAAAATCTTTGATTTAGTCAGAATTCTTAGAAGAAAGGCAAGCTCAGAGATGGGCAGAGCAGGAACAAGAGGATCACCCTGTGGTCCTTAGTCTAATCACTGACTCCCAAGTCCTCTCATGGGGTAAGGTGGAGCCCTATTCCAGGGTCAGAAGGGAACTAACATGGTGCTGTGGGCTGTGATGTGGCTCATTGGAACAGGTCTGGCCCAATATCTAAAGACAGTAATTCACTTTCTTGGGCTTATATGAGTTCCTGTGAAGATTTGCATTGTTGATATTGCTACCAACACTTTTTAAATACTGATGTTTCCTTTCCTGAAACAGAAGTGATCCAATGACATGAGTGGAAAAAATGTAAAACAAGTATGTCCTTGAGAAAAGAACAGGAAAGAAAAGAAAGGGAAACTGAGGGTTATAGAGTCTTGCTTCTGCAGTATATTGGCAAACTTAAGTATCCAATCAAGCTGGGAATTTGGTATTTGGCCCTGGAGCAGTCAATGAACAAGCAATTAGAAAATGCTTAGCAAAGTGGCCCAGTGCCTGAATTCTGAAGTTCTGCCAAGGAGGTTTGGATCTGAGTTTGGTTGCTGTTGTTCAGCTGAGTTATTGTTGGGGGTACTAGGGAGCATATACAGTGGTACATTAACTTAAAATTAACTGAAGAAATAAAGACCTAAAGATATGTGAAATAATAAAAGAACAAATAGCAATGCAAACTGAGCACAAAACAGTAACTAGCAAATAAGTGACTTAACAAATGAGTGTGGTTACCAGAATCTTTCAGTGAGAATCCAAATGGTTCATTACCTAAAAACTCAGTCGCAAGGACTTAACATTTATACTTTGGGCATTGTTCCAAATGAGGATTGGAAGGACAATTTCATTGCATGAGTTCAAACTCAAATCTCATTACTAAACCACACCAACTATGATATACAATAGACTGATGCTATTTGAAAAATAAGTTGTGTGATTATCTTCTGAATGGCATAATACATCATTGCATCTGTGTGAATTTCTTAAATATAAAATTTAAACATCCACTGCAATTTTGGTTATTCCACTTGGGTATTCTCCCTAAAAAAGGTGTGGGTCTCTCCCTCGCTGCACCTTGACAGGCCTGATGGTAAATGACAAGAGAGACCTAGATGAGGTGACAGCTGGCTGGACTGGCCTTCTAGTCATGGGAAATGGAAGACCAACTTGGAAACTCTGAGCTGTGAGAGACCTGAAGCTACTTCTGGACTACCAGGAGATGGTTAAGACACAGGAGTCTGAGATAAAACTAAGAAATATATTCCCATGGTGTTCAGAGCTTCCACAGAGATCTTAACATCCTTTGAAATTTCTTCAGTTGCTGGGCCTTGGTGACTCATTGCTATTTCTTACTTTGACTAGAAAAATTCTTGTTGGACTATAGAAGAGGCAAGCCTTTTGCCTCATCCCAAGGCTTTAAGAACTCTAGTCATAGGGAAGAATTATGTCTCTTGAGCTAATCTGGGAAGTGTCCCAACCTTGCATGCTATATCCAGAAAGCAGCCCCTTTCAGCATATCCTTCAACTGGACCAGAGTGTGACCTCCTAGATGTGTGAAAGCATTTTAGGGTATGTAGCTTTGTGGTTTTATTTGGATTTTGAGCACGGATATATCAATGGGCAGGTCAGTGTGTGCTAAAGGTTGAATAATAGAGGAGGTTGCAATAAAAAGTCAAGTATCACAGGAAAGCTGAGCTAGATCTGGCGACTGCACATGAATAGTCCAAGGCAGCATCTGATTGGGTGCTATGGCACGGTGTGGATCGTACTGGAGAGTTTAGGGGTGGTTGAGAGCTTTGAGAGCTCCCGATATCCAATAAATTCCTACCTTCAATAGATGCTTAAAGTTTCAGAACATATGTGGTTTCCAAAGTCACTCCCCTTTTGACCCTCTCCTGATACTGTGATTACTTTCTAAGTAGTTACCTGCTGGCATGTGGCTCTGTCTGGATTATGCTCTTTAACTAGGAAGTTAACCTGAACTACATTGTATGTCAAAGTCATGTCCCCATCTTTGTCCTTGCTGTATTGTGGTAAGATCTGAAGGTACACTAGAGAGACTCAGAATGGTCAAGATGTCCTGAGGGTGAGTGTATCAATTCCTGGAATGGAATTTATGTTTCTCCCCAACAGCCTTGACTTTTGGGCCATTTTATGGGGCGCAAGGTGTGAGATTAGGAGGATATATCCATATGGATACAAAGAAAAAAAGGGAACATATATTTAATCACCAGGCTTAAGTCAGGCATGATGCTTGCTGTCTTCCATGTGTGATAACAGTTGATATTTGCTAAATGTTCTACCACGCAGACAGCACTCTCTGGAACACATCTTCAAAAAAATTAGAAGTGTGCAACTCTTCCTCACCTGTCACCATATGGAATCTTTGATCTAAAATAGACCTAAGACCTTTTTTTCCTGGGAGTTATCTGTGCCAAATATGTAGAAATTACGACTGAGTTCTGCTTTGGGGGAGTGCTCAAACCCCCCCCTCGAGGGATGGATGCTGGAAGACTCACATCTGTCGTCTCCAGTTTGCAAAGGCGCAGCAGTGGCTGGGGTAGGTGAGACTGGCTTCCATGAGTGAGACAAACTTTTCCAGACTGGGAAGTTTTTTTAAGTTGTAAGCCGACCTGGCCCGTAGCTTCTTAAGATTTTCTAAGCCATAGCTAGGTAAGGAGCGGATTCTGGTTCTTGAAATGTCTCTATAAAAGGGAAAGGTAAATATAATCTGGTTACTATGGAGCTGAGATTTCCCACTCAGCTAGACAAAACAGCAGACACAAGAGTGATATTCTTGCACAGATGTGAGGAGAGACTCTACTTGGTCTGTACACCTTGGTCAGATCACTATTTGGCCAACAGTGCACTTAGTGGGTAGGTTCCTGGTTCTATGCTCATGCCAGGAGGACCTACATAGCAGTTGACCCTAGGTCCTGGATAGCTGCACATCCGAAATGATTTGGGGTTTGCAGCCATCGCCTTGTCTATAGTTTCTCTATTTGTACCCACTTACTTATGTTGACTGGAAAAATTCTTGTCGGACTATAGAAGAGGCAAGCCCTTTGCCTCATCCCAAGGCTTTAAGCACTCTAGTCATCAGGAAGAATAATGTCTCTTGAGCTAATCTGGGAAGTGTCCCAACCTTGCATGCTATATCTAGAAAGCAGCCGCTTTCAGCATATCCTTCACATGCGAGGAAGTATTGAGCCTACTTCTTCCCCTTGTCTATCCACTTATTAGTTCTGCCATTTCTTCATGTCTCTTTCAATGTAAAATGGGAATGGTGATAATCAGACCTGCTGTAAAGGGTTGTGCGAATGAAGTCAGAGCATATAGAGTACGTCCTGCTAACACAGAGTACATCGTGACTGGCAGCTCTTTCTAGTGAACCATACCAAGAGGCAGTTCTTGCTTTGTAGGAGGGGTTCTTCCTGGAAACCAGCAGAGGTATAGGTGGAAGTCCACATTGGTGGGCCACTGAAGCAGGTCCCTGTCCCTGATGGGCTCTGAAGTCACTTTTGTACAGCAATGCCAGCGATATGGTGCTTTCCTGCTGCTGTAATCAGCAATTGTAAGCCTCCAAACAACCCAGTCTAACTGATGGGAGCCAGGAGATTTAGATGGCCCAGCTCAGACCCACGAGGCCAGCTGCTTGGTTGTAAGGGTGTGTGCTGATGGGATTGTAGCCAGGGATGGTCAGGAGGGTTCATTTCAGCACCTTGGTGGACTTTGAATCTCCTTGGGGAAGAAGAACCTTTTAAAGTCAGAACAGTGGGGTACTCAGAGCTGTGAAACGGGGGGTTGTGAATATATATCAGCTACACCATCTGTTCTCAGTCTAATGAAATGGTTTTCAAAACCCTGTTTTCATTACATCATTCTTTTGCTCAAAAATTTGCAATACTTCATATTATTCAATGAAACGCTAATTTTTAACTTTCTTTTCCCTCTCAAACTTTGGATACCAGTTACCTATACCTGACATCACTTTTCTTAATCTCACAATCCAGCAAACCAGTTTTCTTTTCATTCCTAGAGAAACAATAGTCATGAGGGCTAGATCTTAGGCCCAACTTTGATTTCCCCATTACATTCCAGATGTAAAACACCCTTCCTTTCCAAGACTCCCCGTTAGATCATCCTCTTTAATTTCTTCTGAAAATTTGACTTCTGACTTTGCTTTCCTTTCTCTTCTATCCTTAAAATACTGGAATTACTTCAAACTAGGCCCCTTTGATTGTCCTAAACTGATGGTCACATCTGCTTCCTTGGTTTCAGTCACATGTTGACAGCTTCTGGATCTATATTTCAGTTCAGATTCTACTTCTGAATCCCAGGTCCAAATAATTAGTTACCCATCAGACCCTGCCATTTTTTATGACTTGCAGGTATCAAGATTGATACCTTGTACATATGTTCCTCATTTTGTCTTTTCTATCTTAGCAAATGACCCTTCCAGTTTAATCTTTTCAAGAGAGAAATCTGGGCATCACCTTGAGTGCACTCTCTCACACATCAGTTCCTTTGTCCTCATAAGCTAATCTTTTACATCTGTTTCAAGCCAACTCTTATGCCATAGCTTAATCTAGGTGGCCATAATTTCTGTCTGGATAAATGTAATTTCATCACTTCTTTTTGTATGTGTGACTATTCTATTGATCAGAGTTCTCCAGAGAAATAGAACCAATTGTGTGTGTGTGTGTATTATATATTTGAGGGTTAGCTAGCTAGTTAGACAGATAAAGGAAGATTTATCATGGGAATTGACTCATGTAATGGAGGCATGTCATCTCTGAATGCTGGGGAACCAGGAAAGCCAGTGGTATAATTTAGTCTGAATCTGAAGGAGCTGAGAATTGTGAAAGAACCTAGTGTATGCTCCTGAGTCTGAGGAACCAAGAATCAAAAGCTCTGACATCTGAAGATAGGAGAAGATGGATGTTCTAGTTCATGAAGAAAGCAAGAGAATTTGCCTTCCTCCACTGCCTTTTTGTTTGATTCAGACCCTCAGTGGATCAGATTTACTGTGTTCACCCACATTGGGGAAAATGAATCTTCTTTATCAGTCTGCCGATTCAAATGCTAATCACTTTGGTAAACATCCTCATGGACACAGTAGAGATATTTTATCAGCTATCTGGGCATTGTTTAGCCCAGTGCAGATGACACATAAAATCAACCATCATGACAAATAATCACCCTCTCCAATGCAATCTTTACACTATAGATTGGATAAGAGTTTGAAAATTCCAAACAGATTATGACTTCCTGCTTAAAACTTCAGAGACTTCCCACTGTACTTCTGATGAAGTACAAAGCCCTGAGCTGAGCATCTGTCTGGTTTCTCATGCTCCCTCAGCACCCTTCTGTGCTCTCCTTTAAACTGCAGGAAGAAGGTCCCTGCAGGTTCCATTTCTCAGGTTCTACCTTATCAACCAACTTTAAGTTGGGTTCAGTAAATGCCAATGAGAGTTAGGAGGGAGGGAAGAAGCGTTAGGTTAGAGCACTTCTCATGTCTCCTCTGCTTTAGGCTATAACCCATCTGAGACTCCAGTTCTCTCATTGCATAGATTTGTTGAGAACCCAGCCACTACCACTTGCCCCAGTTCCTGCGCTTCTGAAAGAACATAAGCTCAACTGGCCCTCAGATCCTAGGACTAGAAGTATTTACTTACCATTGCTAACCTTGTGAGAGCTAATGACTACTTTTGTGTAATACTTATATATACTTTGTCCTCTCCTTGATAGATTCTATGGAGATCAAATTTGTCCATACAGTCATCCTTGGGTATCCACAGGGGACTGATTGGTTCCAGGACTCCCATGGATACCAAAATCTGCAGAGACTCAACTCCTTAATATAGAGGATTACTTGCCTATAATCTATACACATCTTCCTATATACTTCAAATCCTTTCTAGATTACTTATAGCTAGAATATAAATGCTATGTAAATAGTTGTTATACTGTAATGTTTAGTGGATGATGACAAGAATTAAAAAGTATGGTCGTGGCCAGGCCTAGATAAATAGCATATAGCTTCAATTCATAGCTGGTTGAATCCATGGACACAGAACCTGCAGTATGAAGGGCTAATTACACTCTTGTTCATAGTTTACTTCCTGATTTTATGCTTGCTTGTTCTATCTCTACTGAGAGAAGCATGCTAAACCTCCAACTGTGATTTTAGATTTGTATACTACTAATTGTAGTTTTGTTCAATTTTGCTTTATATATTTTTGATAATTTTTTTGGTACAAATCTATAATTTTGCTATATTCCTGGTGATTTAGAAAAATATTAGTGGCATTTGTCTCCTAACTCTTTGGAAATTTCTTCTTGCTGGTTTCTCCCTGACCACCAACTGCTGTTGGTATACCCATGGGCTCAGTGCCCAGACTTCTTTTCTCCATCTTCATTTACTCTGTAGGTGAATTCATGCAGTTTTATAATTTAAATTTCTTTTGTAATATGCTGATGTCTTCCACCCACCTCCTCCAAGATTTATCTCTAGGTTGTTCTCTTTCCTGAACTCCAGACTCACATTCAATTGCAACCTTCTCTCTCCCTGGATGCCTCATAGATTGGCATGTTAAAGTTATATTCCTGATCTTAGAAAAACAAACTCATCTGCTGTCCTTTCAGTTGTTCATGAAAAAACCTTGAAGCTTCTCTTGTCTCCTCTCTCCCTTTCTCTCCTCTCTTGTATCTATTATCTAAACATTCAGCAAAATATCTTGGTTTTACTTTCCACATATAGCTAGAATTTAATCACTTCTCACAATATAATTATTCAGAACTGAGGTGCTGGGAATGAGTCACATCTGTGAGCCTTTGCCCAGGGATGAGTCTTGCCCCTCTGCTGCTGAATGAAACAGCTGTTCTGATTTCCCTCTATTTGTATTTTCCATTGTTTCAGAGATTCTTGGTTTTTCTCTGGCCTGAAAAAATCTTCCCAGTTTCTCATTACATAATTGCTCCTCTGACCAGTACTGCGACTGACACTCTGTGCTCTGTGACCAAGTTCTTATTTCATCTGGCACTGGGCTCCTGGCATTGGATGGGAGCAATGACTGCCTGTTCTTTCTAAAACAGTTCAAGGATCCCTCCAAAAGATGGGTGGAAGACACACAAAAGTCCTTTGGGAATAATGGAAATCAGGTAATCACTACCTGCATGAACATTTTTCATAGTTTCAAAAACAAACAATACAAAACAAGATTTTTCCTTTATGTCCTTCCTATGTTTAGAATATTAAAAAATTACATTAATTAAAGGTTTCAAAAATATATTTATATATCCCATGGAATACCAGCCTATCATCTCATATATTCTGTGATGAATTAAAGATGACTACAGATTCTTTATTCTCTTCCCGGAGAAGGTCTGATTATCCTTCCCTTGACTCTGTACTGAACTGTGATATTCGTGGGTTGTAATGGAGTATGATGAAAGTGTTGCTATGCCAGTGCTGGACCTTGCCTTTAAGAGTATTGTCAGCTTCTGTACTGATTGTGTAGAACCTAAAGCTGCCATAGGCAAACTGAATACTCAGGTGCCACCATACTGGGAAAAGTCTAAGCTATTTGTAGATATCCTGGAAGATGAGGTGTGTGGGTGGAAGGTGGAAGGTGGGAGAGATACCAGGGAGCACAGATAAACCACATTTGGGCGTGAAGGGAAAACTGAGAAGTAGACCATC